GAGTAGCCCCAGCCCAAGACCCTCCCTTGGAAAAAAGGGTTTATTCTCAATAATTCCGTGGTTTTGTTTCATGTGAATTCAGCAAGTCATAGCATATATTTTTTTGTATTTCTACACTTTTCCAATTACCACATTTCAAATCTGGCCTAAATCTTCTGATTTCAGGGTGATTTCATTTCACACAAGAAATTAGACACCGGGGATGGATCCTAACCTTCCTCTACAGATCCAACGGTTCAGAAACGGTGCGTGGGCAAAGCTTTGCTGACACAACCTCACGCAAAAGCCCTGCGAGCCATTCCCCATTCTTTACTCTACAGCCAACGAGAGGAAAACCCCAAGTTCACAAAGAGAAGAAGAGGAAAAGCCCAGCAATGTCGGGGCGGCGCGGGCGCGGGCGCGGGCCGCCGACGCAGGCGGACCGCCTGATGCGCGGGGCCATCGACCACTTCGGACGGATGGGCTACGCCGAGGCCGACATCCGCAGCACCGTCGGGCAACTCATCGAGGTTCCCTTCCTTCGCCCTTTTCCGCCTCTCTGTCGTACCCGAATCCCAGTGTTATGTTGGGTTCAATAACCTCGAGGACTGTCCCAGAGATCGGCATTCTGCTGGGAGCATCGATGTTGCTTCTTCCCTTTCTCTATTACCGCGGTTTCCTCGACTGATTGAGGAGTTGGTCGATCGACACTAGTTCGTGAGATTCTTCCTTGTGGTTCCAAGGTCATGATTTGGTGGTCTAATCTAATCAGGTCTATGGTGAGGATGCTTCGTCGTTCCTGAAGGAAGATGACTACCGGGTCGTGCAGGACGCACTATTTGAGAAGCAGGAGCAGGAAGAGCAGCAGCAGGAGCCTAAAGTGAGCTCCCTTCTCAATTGCACTTCTTGCGCCTATCTCACACGTGTGATTCTTGTTCCTGCTTATTTTTCATGTTTCATCCATCAATTTGATTTGCCTCTTTCTCTAAAAGAAACACAAATAATCTTCATGTTCCCGACCTTACTTTTTGGGTCGACTGATCTGCACTTTTAATGTATTCCAAGTGACAACATGTACACAGTTTCCCAATGCATTGGAAATTGGGAATTCCTTTTCACGGTTTAAAGAAAATTGGAGGGATGCATTTCATTTCATAACAAAGATATAAGTTTGTTCTCTAGTAGTTAATCATTATAGCTCGTTGATGCAACTTCTTTTTTATCCATACAATTCATTCGTTAATTTCTTTCCATAAGTAGCAGCACACTAAGTTATGAAGGCTACTCTATTGTATGTTAGGGCATCTCTAGCAGATTCCCTATCCTAAAAGTCCAAAATGTATCTCTTATCTCATTTCCTTATAATTTTTAAGGGATTAAACTTTTCTAAATCTAGCAGATCCTTAGATGATTGATGAAATAGTATGCAATTGTTTGAAATGTATGTTACAAGGCTAAAAGAATTGAGCAGAATTTTTGTAGGGACTTAAATATAGAGGATCAGTTAGAAACGGCCACCCTCTAACTCCTTATAATATACTCCAAATATACTCGGGCGTTTCCCCTAAATTATAGGGGATCAGTCAGAGATGCTCTTATCCTGAGAAGTAGCTTCTCTGGACTAAAAATAGGCAATTGGGGAAACTTTTAAGGGATACAAAGTCAATTTTTTGAGGAAGTAAAGGTTTGAGGGATCTGCTAGATAGCACCCTCAAAACAGAAATTGCTCTCTCACATATAACTTTTGAGGGATCTGCTAGAGATGCCCTTAGGCTTCAGGTTTTGGTCCAAGTGTTTACAAACTAACACGTTCTTTGCCCATTGCTTGCTGTTTTAGTTAGGTTAGCTGTAGTTATGTATTATTCACGAAAAAGCTCTCTAGTGTTAGAATAACATGGTATACGGAAGTTGAGTAGGCGAAAATGGAATCTAGTAGGGTTCATTTATTTCCATGATTGATGCATTTTTTCTTGCTGTTGATTTCTTCACCCTTGATTGTCCATACGTTCTCTCATAATTTCCTTGTTTTCTGGTAATTACCTTTTACATTTCGGTGCGTTCTTGACATACAAGCTTAGTTATACATAAAAAGCCAGAGGAAAACGAATTATTTGTTTGATTTCTACATTTATGCTGTTACAGTTGGCTGGTGAACTGGGTCGTGCATTTTAAGTTGTGTTCTATCATGAAGCAATAGAATTCCCTTTTTAACCCTGTCTGGTTCATGGAATTGAGCCCATAATTAGGCAATTGGAATTGAATCTCTTGAATATAAGTTGTTTGGATGTCTTTGAGTTAGAACTGGAGTCGTGCTTCAGTGTCAGATGAATTGTTGGGTAGCCAAATATGCTTCACCATGGAGTATATTTGTATATGCATTCTGGGTTGACAAAAGTGTGTTCCCTGTTGTACCAAACTTTAGTTCAGCTGTTGTGATATAATTTCATGTTTAGCTCTAAACTGAGGCTTTGGGTGCAATTCTTAACTGGTCTTGGTTGGTGTGTAATGCAGCAAAAGGAAGCAGCAATCTCTGAGGCACCAACAGCAAGTGACATGCCAATTGTGGACATGCACAATGAGATGCCACCTGGGGCTGAGTTATCAGTTGAGGGAGCAGACCCTATGCCCATCGACCCGCCTGCTCCTGAGGCTACAATGGCACATCCTGCAGCTACAGGAACTAGTAGAGCAAGGCGTCCCTGCTATGGATGGATTAGCGAATCTGAGAGTGATTCGGACTATGAAGAATACCTCGCCAGTCGACGACAGGCGACGCATGCTCCAATCCCAGGAAGCGGCTGAGTGGATGGAATGTGAAATGAAGCCCCACTTAACTGGTGATGTTTCTGATCTCCTTTTTGTTGACTTTAATTTGATGCTCATAGCCTAATTGCTACGAGTGAGTAACTTCGTATCTCTTGCCATACTTGCGCGTTTTGGATTCAATGGTAAATGCTTGCTGTAGAGTTTACGATTTCCTTAGTCGAAAATGCAGAAGTGTGATATAGTTTGAACGGTGAACGCAAGACTAAACACATTGTAAGCCAGATACATCAAGACGTGTACGATAGTACCCTAAAAGAATGGAGGTCATCAGTTTTGTTTGTACCAAGAACTCATCTGTGAATATAAACCTCGTGACTGAAGGATATCAGTTTTGCAGGATGGACCTACTGTCTGCTTATCGCTGTAAGCAGCTTGCTACATGCTTACTGTAGAACTTACGGTTTCCTTGGTTGTGAACACAAAAGTGTGGTCTAGTTTGAACGGTGAACGCAAGACTGCACACATTGTAAACCAGACACACCTACACGTGCACAACACTACCGTAAAAGAATGGAGGTCGTCAGTTTTGTTTGCACCAAGCCTATAAAACTCTTGTATGAACATAAATAAACCTTTTTGACTGGATGATATGATTTTTTTAAGAGTTAACCGACTTCCATTAGTGTATACAAACTTTTTATCCAATTTATGAAATTTTGTTTTCGGTGCTATAGCTGTTCTTTTTATCTAAATAAATGCTTACCTTATGCTGCTCTTGTTAATTGTTATGACAGGCAGGCACATAGCTGACTTTGCTGGGTGGGTGTTCAGGTCGTCTGAAGTATTGGCAATGCTGTATTAGTAATTTAAGTGTACTATATATAGGAGTAAGCACTAAGTTAACACAGCACATATAGTTTGACCAGCGCTATTTGCATTTAAGAACAGCATCGATGCTGCCAGTCAAGAACTAAAATGTCCTAGCTTCGACTGTCATTACTATGAATATTTTGATACGAAAAAGATGTTTGAAATATTATTGATTGATCTCTTACTTGGAGTGAGTTTATAGCATTGTTTTTAAGGCGTCCCGCCTTGGACGCTAGGCGATAAGGCGCCCCCCAGCGCCTTAGGTCGCCTTACCGCCTTAAAAACTATGGTTTATAGTAGTATTAAAAATAATTCCGTCGCCGGGACTTGAACCCGGGTCTCTCGGGTGAGAGCCGAGTATCCTAACCACCTAGACTACGACGGAATGATGTCTTCAAGACGCTGCAAAGCATCAAGTACAGAATGCTATTGCAAATTGCTCTCCGTCGAGTACTTTTCCCATCCTACTTTGATATTTAACCACGGCCTTAACTCCTTGATGGGATCATATAAATCCCAGTATTCCGCCGTAAAGTTCTGTAAACTCGCCTTGTGTCATTGACATGCTGGACTCAGACGCACGCGTTGACATAACGAGTTGCAGTAGACCGTTTCAGTTTCCTTTTTGCAGTGGCACATACAAGGATTTGAAGCACGCAGCCATTTTACTTTAGAAGTTTAGAGCAATATCTGTTTTTCTTGTTCCCTTTCTGCAACTAGTTTTCCTTCTCTGTGTGTTCTCTGATGTACGTTGACTGAGCAATAAGCGAAGTTGCAGTATATCCTCGCTTATTCCTATCATTTTTAGTAGTAAAGGTTTGGTTGAATGTAACCTGCAATAACTCGTAACATCGCCGATGCACGGCACAACGCAAGAGGTGACAAATACAGGGGCACAAGTTGCTGTGTCAGACCAATATATAATTCCTAACAAACCAAACCAGAGTCATTCGACTTGCCACTTTCAGTACCAACATACAGAAAATAATACTATAAAGGAAACAAGCACAAGGCATCCAACTTCCACCATCCTTCTTGCAAATCTTTATGTAGAAGAACACACCAACCGTTGGCATCTCTCCAGTCAGACCAAGGACGGCTGAAACATGAAACCTCGCGCTCACTTCTTCCAGGAAGAATGGTGGCCACTCACTCACTCACTAACTCCACCACCTCTACATTCACATCTCACTTTATAGGCACAGGAAATTTACACCCAAAGACAAGTCACCCTATGAAGAACATATACTTGTCGATCCCGTGGCTAGGTAAAAACGAAGCACGAAGGAGATCCCATCAAGCCTTTAGCTGCATTGTTAGCTGTGTAGGTCCGTGAACCAACCGTGTCAGTCAATGTGAAGCCGGAGAAAAAAGAGAAGCCCGTTTCACATCACTTTCTGAGGTTTATGAGTGATAAGTAGCTGGGGTCTGGGCCTGGCCCTCGTGATCGTTTCATCGCTGTGGCGGATCATCTCGGACAGTTTCCAGGGCTTCTGCCACTTCCACTTGAACTGCAGTAGCCACTGGTGGTGGCTCCTTTTCCATCTCCACAGTTTTCCTGATTGTCCTGATATCGAAACCTTCTTGCCGACAGGCAACTGCGCGATAGGAACCATCTGCATTGAAGATCATCAACCAGAAATGTATATGAGACAGAGAGACATGGCAAGGCAAAAGGAGCTATCAGGCTGTGAGATGTAAAACCTTGAGTTGTTTGTTCGATGCAGCTACACCTTTGCTGGGGCTATTTACAATTCCAGCAGAGTACTTCAGCTGCTTCTGTGCAGGAACTGCAACCGGGGATAGTGGTGTGTTGGAGTCATCCGCAGTGTGCTTCGCGGAGCCATTTACACTTCCCTACAAGGTTTATGGAAATTCATTAAAAATTGCACGCTATATGTCGAATGTCCATGATCAAAATCAGGTCCCATGTCTTGTAGCAATTGTTTTTTTTTCATGAAAACTCTAAGCTGTGTTATAGTCAGTCTGACCCTAAATGTAGATCGTCTTGGACACATTACCAAACGAATTATTTGAAAACATGCTTCTTTTAAAATAGATGATTGTATATTATTAAAGTATATTCCATTATGGTCCTACTAGTATCAATTTGTTGTTGTTGTTAATGTCGACAATTCTCTCTGTATTGGTGGTAAATATCTGAAAATGTTGGACTATCATAGAAATAGAATCTAAAAATTATATATATTTGGGAGAAAAGGGAGTAGATGTTTATCCATGCTGTTCATAGATCAAATGTATGGTTTGAAGGATTCATATGGTTGCAAGCTGTGAGAAATCGCACCGGAGGAGTAGTAGCCATGGGAGCTGTCTGCTCTTTCTGCTTGCTCTGCTTTTCAAGTTCCCTCCTGCGTGATTCACTGTGTCGAAGGATGCCCACAAGCTCCGTCATTTGCTCCTTCATTTCCGTCATTTGCTCCTTCATTTCCTTGATCTCAATTTCTTTTTCCCTTACTTCACATCTGTTTTCAGCAACAAAGAGAATATCACTCTTTGTTTCAAGATAATATATTAATGAAGTTGGCTTCGAAAGAATCGAACTTTCAGAAGGAAAAAAAATCACAAAAAGGCTAAGTGTCTCCGTTTCATTCATCCATGACATATTGTAACTCTTGAAAGAAAATGATAAACCAAAATTTTAAGTTTGGGTTTACTATCAGCTATCTCTTAGAAAAGAAGGGTGTTTTTAGTTTCAGGGTCTACAAATGATGAAGTCTAAGCAGTATGGATGATGGATGATATTTTGTTTCCTTCACAGAAGTTGATGCCATAGTATGAAACCATGAAGATGCCATAATAACCTTGCATCCGCAGCAACACTAAAGATGTACTGCAGCAAACTCTTTGCTTCTCCCATTGACCGCAACTGATTCCAACGACCACGCCCCGAGAAAGTACGCTCTCTTTCCTCAGCCTCTGAAAGTTGAGAAGCCATCGCGACAAGAGTATTTGAAGAGATTGTGACCATGCTCTCAAGTGATGCTATCCTAGCTTGTCGGGCATTTGGTGACAAGGTATTTGTCCTGCGAAAAAGAGTTGCAGTCAAGACATGCATGGCCATTTAGAAGTCCTGAATACAGTATGGGAAATTGCGAACTAAATATGTTCAATCGTATTTACAGGAAATTGGATTGTAGATCTGGACACAGTAACAGGAAACTTATTTTATATGGGCTAAAACTACTGTGATAATAAATAGATATGTGATGGAAAGATACCTTGAGTACATAAGAAAACAAGGAGAGAACAATTACCTTGAGTTTCCATTCTTCCCTCTTGGCGGACTAGCATCTTCTTTCTTCAAAATGGCAAGCTCCTCGCCAAGTAAAGCACGCCTTTAAAACCATATTATTTTGAAAGTCATAAATTATGCAAAAAATGTAAACTGTATCTGCAATAAACAATTGAGTAGCAAAAATGAACCACACAACACATACAATTGAGACTGTTTTTCGTATTCGTTTCGGACTTCGTGGACATGAACCATGACTTCTAACTCTTGATCTAGCCACTTTTGCAACGATTTCTCACTCATCTGTTTTACAAAAGAATATGTTGAGGGGTATGTGCGAAATAAACATCGGAATTTATAGGGCAAGTATGAATAAATCTTACATGAGAGCCAGGAGAAGTGCCATTCATGCCAGCTATTTTTGGAGGAAAGAAGAACAATGGAGTGTTGTTAGATAGGAAGTATTAATTATGCTGCAAATAATAATGTCATGATGCAGAGAGACTGAGAGAGGTACCTGAATTATCACGCCCTGAAGATTTCCGAGCTTCAAGTATCTCTTTCAGCCTTTTGGTAGCCATGGCAGCTTCTTCAGTCTTCCTTTGAAGAACCTATAGTACAAAAAGTGCCGTATTGTTATTCAACTGATATATAATACTCCCTCCAATCCAAAATAAGTGTCGCAGCTTTGAACTAAGGTTCAACCTCAGTTCAAAACTCCAACACTTATTATGGATTAGAGGGAGTATATAAAGAGCCTTTTGCTAGTTATGTCCTTAATCGTATTTGTTGGTTTTGGCATTTATCAGTCTTGAAGGGACATGACTACTCAGTAAGCACCGGATCAACAAAAACAAGCATGCCAAACTTACCAATTTTTGCCTCTGAGTAAGTGCTTGAAGTTTGTGGCGTTCATACTCATTTCTTCGTCCCTCCTTCCGCAACTGCACATAGGAAACAGAATGAAAACCATGCTTCTCAAAATGACCTCTGGAATATCCGATTCCATCTATAAAAAATATTACAACAGAAGCATCATAAACACTGCATGCATACCAAGTCTAAATATCTAACTTAATCTTATTCAACATTTTTAAAGGCCATATTATAGAATTAGAAGTAAATCATTTCTGAAAATACGTTTTGTTCATGTGCTAGGGTGCCCCTGCAAACAAAGAGAAGCATGGATATCTAAGTAAGCTATGATAAAAATGCCCATCATTGTTACATGGACCACATTTGGATTGAACTAGAATCTGCCACACAGTAATTCTGCAGTATTTGCACTAACTATGCAACGAACTATCCATACCTGCAAAAGTTCTTTTTCACGGGAAGCCTTCCATTGCCGGAACTGTTCTGCTTCTTGTTTGATCTTGTGTTGTAGTTGAACCTGAAACCATAAAAGATTGCATTAATATGAATGAAGTATTATTAACAATACATAGAAATGATGTAGAAAATGATGCAGTTATCACAGACAAGCTGACAAAGGAAAGGCAACCTTCTGTGACTTTATAAAATGGATTTCCTCTTGCAGTTTCTTAGCAGCTTCATCACTCTTCTGCTTTTCTTTCAGAAGTTGAACTTGGCTCTCCTGCTTTTTCTTGAGTTCTAGAATCTGCAGGTCCGGTATTTTATGACTAACATGTACTAGATTGTGAAAATTACTAGAACACATTAAGAAGAACCATTTACCTGTGCTTCAAAGGTTTTAAGTTTTTGCAGTTGGGCATCTCGCACCTTATGTGTCTGCCCATCTGCATTTAGGCTTTCAACTTCAGCCAACAACCTGTCCCTCTCTTTCTGAAACGTGTTCAAATTTCCTTGTAAGATTAGCATTTTTCGTGGATATGCAACTGTTTTTGACTGAGTATAGTAGTTTGAAGATTTTATGACAAACCTGTACAGCTCTTTTCTCTTCTTCAAGTTCCATAAGTTTCTTTCCAAAGTGTTGCTTAAGTGCAACAGTATCATGTCCATACCCTTTCATCTCAGACTGCAAAATGTTCGGGACAAATTTGTGGTAAGGTTATTGGCAAGCATAATCAGAATGCAAGAGTAAAGTTAACTCAGGAAACAGGTCAGAATAATGTATGTATAATGTGTTGCTCTTTCAAGTTAATATAGTAATCATTGGCACACAATTAATGACCTTCACAACCTCATGAATCATGCATTTTGAAATCAACTTTACCAAGACAAGGACAAGGTTGGCTTTGCCGCTGATCCTAGTATAGAACAGAAGGCCACAAAACAAAGGGTTGGGGAAGTGAATGCATATTCATGTGTGCGTGAACATTAACTCGTATACATTTTATTGATTTTTAAACGGTTATTTTATGTACATGGTGAAATAGTTTTCAGTGTCCGCGTTGCATACCTCCTTTTTCTCCAGTTGTTTGTTTAATTCATTCAACTCTTTGCCTAAGCTATCCTGCAGCATTGTGTGTTCCCATTCTTTGGCTACTTCATCGTCAATATCTTTAGGGTTGCCTTCTGCAGGTAGGGACAATTAGTGCCATACAAGCATAGCAAGAAAACAAAGATAAATTCGAGATTTAGTCATGGTTTGAGAAGCAACCAAAGAACTACAAGATTCTAAGATTACCTCGTACAGAATCAGTCATAAGGACATCAAATGGCTCCGTACTTTGCAAGCTTCGTTTGAGCCCTTCACCTTTGGTGTAGCCACTTACAGTTTTCTGAAACAAAGAGTAAAACAAGTGAGATACATATGGTCTAGCTATAAAATTTCAAGTGTAACTACATGGAAAACAAAGTAGTAGATAATAATGTTATGTTGTTTCTCGTTTTCCCTTTGTGAGAACATACATATAGTGTGAAAGGAGCAGTGGAAGTGCAAGTATATCATTGTTCACAAATGTCAAATTTCCAAAAACAGGCTTAAGAAGTATAATTGACATACATGTAGTTCAGGTTCGCATGGATCACTGTGAACATGGTTGCGAAGGCCATAAAGTTCCCGGCAAAGGTCTTCATTTGTGTGTTCAAGCCATGAGATCCTTTCCCTGAGACCCTGAAAATTGATATCTTGTTATTCCAATTCTTAGTGCGAGTGACTGCGTTCCACAGTCCAAATTTTGCTGATGACATTGCAAACAGATTGTAAAACATTTACCTGAACATCATCTGATCCTACTCCTCCTCCGCGAGCTAAAACTAGCTCTGCTTGCAAGTACTCGAGTTGCTGGCGCATCCTTTTCATCTCATCAGCAATAGGATTCCTGTTGACCTGGAAATCAGGGAAGCAAATAGCAAAAAGTCAAGTAACCATCAGGGAGAAAAGCTTATCAATTTAATAAAGAAAGTGTAGGTACATGTCTGATATGTTTCTAGGGAGGCTAAAGATGACAAACTCACAATTGGTTTGTTCTGAATATTACGTGCCCGGTTAGCGTATTTCAATGTGTTCAGTGTTTCTTCAGCATTAATATCTGCTGGGCTAATACAGGCTGCAGGAGAGAATATAGACATAAGTCAGTTCAATGTAAGTTCAGTCGGGCCAGTTAGTAAAATATAAGCTTAACGACCATATATAAGAACTGGTCTTTCCTTTGAAATAAATTAAATGAAATGACTAAATCATATCATGGGATTCATACATTTTGAGATGATACATTTTGAACCTTGATATGCCAATTCTGGAACTCTTACAGAACTTTAGATATTGTGGGAGATCGGCACTTATTATTGTAAACATTAAGAATAAGAAATTAAGTGGTATCCAGTAAAATGAGTTACCTATCATTACAGTCTTGCTGTTTCCACCGAGTGAGTCCTGTTCACAAAACAGAAATGGATAAGAAGTAGTTAGTATTAGGACAAAAGATAATATAGTAAACCACATCTGATGCTGAAGCAGCAGTTGACCTGATCCTATTTAACAGAACATAGCAATGAAATCAATGGCACTTAAAGGCCACATCTGTTCAGTTGCATGAGAAGAATATAACCTGCAGAAGACGAGTGAGTTTGCTGTCCCGGTAAGGTACATGTGCACCTTCTTTCCTCTTTTTCTCATCTCCAAGAGCACTTATGACGTTGCCAAGGGCCAGAAGTCCTCTGTTGATGTGAACACCTGGTGACACAAGGCATAAATTACCTTTAGTTTGGGGACGAGATCATGCATCAATGGTCGTCTAAAACAGAAAAACATGCGAAGTACACACCTTCCTTGAACCGAAGGCCATCTGAACCAGTTCTCTTGGCCCGTTCCGACCCCGCAAGATCTACCAAGTGGAGCTTGGCACATAGATAATCGTCATTCATCTCTTCAATAGGCATTCCATCTGATGCCATGATGGGGTCTGCTTTGCGCATCTGCTCCAATGTGATTGTGAAGATGGCATGGGAACGACTATTACATGCCGAAACAAAAAAAAAGCATAAAGTTGATTAAAACAACATGAATAATTCTCTAATCTGAAACTGTATCCAGCACTGATTGCGCGTGTCTAATCTGAATGATGTTTACTTGTTTTCTCTTTTCATCACATCAAATCAGTTATGGGTGAGTGATTAAAAGGCTTTATCTTTTAAAAGATAGTGATGATTGTGCCAATGTTGCTAACCTTGATTGGTTGTTCATGTTGGTGCTCCCAGTGGCGCGGCTCAGCGAACCTTGTTCAAGGCATGTGGTCATTTCCTTCTGAGTGGTGACATGCACTTCGGTCGACCCCGACAGGGTTATGACCCCGTTTGACCCCTCCCGAATCTGCACCGGAGGTTTCCCCGGCACGGACAACTTCCCGGTGTGCCCATTGCCATTCTCAACTTTGCCAGCAGTAACAGTAGCAGGGTCAAGCAAATCCCGCACCTCTTCTTTCAGGATCTGTCCAAGACAAGTGTTTATAGCCTATTCAAATAAATTCTCTAGGGGACTGTCTGTCAGTTCAGAGAGGCAACTGCATTTGATCAGGTTCGAGCATTGCTTCCCATGTGTTTACCTCGATGAAAGAAACGCGTAGCTGGAAGTCCACTTGATTTTTCAGCTTCTCGATCTTGTCGAACAATGCCGCCATGGCTCGCGGGATGATCCCGACGTGCGTCCCCTCCTTGCAAGCCGTCCCCATGGTGTACGTCTTCCCCGAGCCCGTCTAGCGAAAAGAAAAAGAAAAAAAATTGAAAACAGTTAGACCTGAAATGAAATGACCAGCATTTTTGCGGGGTTTTATCATTTCGACTCCACCGTAAATAAATTGCCAAAGGAACAGTCGACATTTGCTTGGGGTTTTGCTTGTGGGGGCAAGCAAGAAAGCCCCATAATGGCAGAAGCAGGTGAGCTGGACTGGGAGAAAAGGGTTTGCAGCTCCGGCAGCGCCACATGATGTGCTGCTGGCTTTTTGCCACCCCCCAACGTGGTGGTCCAGGCACCATATCATGTGGGTCTTTGCTCTGAATGAATGGCACATGGGACTGGGATGGATGGAAAAAAATGAATGATTGACCGACTGACCTGGCCGTAGGCGAGCACGGTGGCGTTGTAGCCCTGGAAGAGGCCCTCCACCAGCGGCGCCACGCACTCGTCGAACATGGCCGTCGACGGCGTGCCGGAGCTGCCGTAGACGTGGTCGAAGGTGAAGGAGTGGGTGCCGATCTGGACCTGCATTCATCCATCATTCATTCATTCAGCAACAGAAAAAGGTCCGAGTTACTACTACCACAACAGCATCTCATCATTGCCTTGCTAACGCTAGTAATAAAGAGTTGGGCGGAAAGAAAGTCACTTTCCATCTACCCATCTTGATTCTTGACCCGAAAATTGCCTCACCAAAAAAGAAATCATCACACACACACACACACACACATACACACACACACAAAGAGAGAGAGAGAGAGATAGAGAGAGATCAAGGTGAGATTGGTGGGAAAGCCAAGAAAGATGAGGAAGAATGTGCCGCTGACAGCTGGAGATGCATGCAGATGAATCACAGGAGAAAATAAAATATTACTACTACCACATAGGTGAAAGTAAGATAAGCCAGATCTCACTCACCGAGGCTCAGGGTGGAACGGGGAACCCAATCCATCAGAATTTGGGGGAGGTTAACAAATGATAAAAAACCTTTCTCGAAGAAGAAATGGAAACAAGCTTGGATTGAATTGGGAGAGCTGAAAGGGACCGGATCAACAAACAGCCGGGAGCGCAAGTGCGTGACGCTGACAGGATTCCTGCCCAGATAAAGAAGAGCACCAACGCCATCAGGATCGGACGCAACTCCGCACCAGAAATGTGATATGAACAACTCTGGCACTGCCGACAGGGGAAATTTCTTTTCTCCAGGGGATGGCGAAAAAGGAGGAGGGAAAAAGGGGGCACGCCCATCTCTGTCACGGCGGGCTAAATCGGGGAAGCAAGCAAGCAACCTAGATTCTCGTCGCTGAATTCGAGATGTTCTTGATGGCCGAAATTGGGGTGGATCGGTTGGTTTCTTGTGAGCTCGGCTGTTCTTGAACCGGACAGAGAGAAACAGAGGAGATGGGAAGTCCTTTTCTTTTATTTATTTCTTGCCGAAATCTGGTGCTGAAACCCTCAAACATCGGCCAAAAATGTCAATCCGGTCTCTGAATTTTATGGAACAAAATGAATAAAAAAACGCAGCCGTGTGGTTTCTCTTTCTTTCTTTTTTTGTGAGCTAAGAAAACACGAGAGAATTTATCGTACTGGCAGAACTGGATTGAACAGCAGTCAATCTATCTTGTCTCTGAACTGAGACATGCACTGCCGCCAGTGAATGAAGAAACCAAAAACAAGAACGAGAGGGAGAAAACAACACAAACACAAGCACAAGCATTCCATCATACTGAGCGAAACAGAGGGAAAAGCCTAGTAAATTGAGTGAAGAAAGCTCGTTCATACCTGTGGCTTGCCGGGGACGACGGTGACGCAGTCCTTACAGCCCTGCAGCTTCTCGTCGCCGATGAGCGGGCGGGCGTGGACCGCCACCTTGACGCAGCAATCCTCGCCGTGCTCCATTGTCATCTCGTCTGCTGCCACCGATCATACAACAACCACCACCACCACAACCGCGACAAGCGACGCACCAACCGAGAAGAAGATGTGCTGCTGTTGGGAATGCGGCCGGGCTTCTTTTCTTCTCTTGCAACAAGGCAATAAGACAAGGGAGGGAGGGAGGGAGGGGAGGAGTGAAGCAAGGATTAAAGGGAAGAGGGGATGGCGACCGGTGAGTAACAGCAGCGTCCACCACGACCACTACTACTGCTAGCAGCACCGCCGATCAATCCTCCTCCTGCTCCTGCCCCTGCCACACCACCATCATGGTTTCTTGGGTTGTACTGCAATCCCTCTCTGTATCTCTCTACCCGTGTACTATGGAGGATGGATGGATGGATGGATGGAGTTGGGGGATTCAGATGGAGATGGGTTTCAGGTGGATGGTGTGGTGAAAAGGGAAAAGGAGAAAGAAAAGCTCCGGGGGAACTTGACCCTCACTCCTGCGCAAGCGAGCGCAACCACTTGCACTTCCACCACCGGCACGCCAGACGCCGCTCCCTCCCTCTCCCTGATCCAACCGCCGCAGCTCCACCGATCTCTACAAATGCTGCTCTTGCTCCGAGGAAGCCAGGCCGATCTTGGGGCTTGGATCTTGCTTGGTGGTGGTGTTCTTGGGAGGGATGGAACGGGGGGGCGTTTGGTGGTGGGTGGAAATGCAATGCGAATGGAGGAGGACGATCGATGCGGTGCTGTGCTGGGCTGGGTGTGTAGGTGGGGGTGTGTGCCTCTCCTTTAACCAATTACAATTATTAATCTCTCCTTTCTTTTTCTGCTTTTGGTGAGCGAGTGAGTGAGAGGAGAGTGCTGCTGCCGCTGCTGCCTGGCTGTGAATTCTGTGAATTCTGTGATTGTTACCGCTGTCTATGTCTACTATGTGTCTGTCTGTCTGTCCCTGCAACAAGGACGCCCCATCTCTATGGTTGTTAGCCAGCCACCGCACTACACTGGTATAACAGCTGAAGAAAATATGCTCCGGGTACTCTCCCTGCCCTGCCCGATGCGTATGATTCGCAGGCGCCATGTCTCCCTGCCTGCCTCTTGACATGCTAGCAATTTCAGGAGCTTTGAGACCTGAATTTAATTGGGACGTCATTGCTCCTAAAATCCCTCCCTGCCTTTTTTCGTGCAAGCCATTTTCCAAAAAAATTCATGCAAGCCCTTTTTACTATCACGTCCCTCCGTTCACTAGTATAACAAGACGTTTTGGATATTTCAATTTGAACTACTTATTCATAATTCTTGTCGTGGTTTTAGTTCAAAATTCGAGCTAAAATCACGACAAGATTTATCAAATGGAGGGAATACATACGGACTGAAATGAATTAACAAACACACTAAAACGTGTCTACATACATTTGATTTAGAAACAAAGTTAGAACATCTTATAATAGTGAATGAAGGGAGTACATGTTTAAGTATTCCACGTGTCTTCTTGCTTTGGATTGCTATTTATTTAGCTTTACATTCTCTGTTTTGATTCAATTTACGTCTCTGGAATTTCTAGAGATCCTTCACAATACATGTTTTCTTCTCTTTTTCCGTTTTGACAGGATGCCAGTTTCCTTTTCGATTGACCGGTTTTTACCCAGTTCACTACGGTTTCATCCTAATCAGTTGTGTCAACCATGCCATCTCTTTTCTCTCTTTAAGCTAAAAAATACCACGTTTCTCTCAAATTGTACGACAATTGGTCACCGAATTATTCCGGATTTACTGTAACCTTTTCAGTTTTGAACCCTAAATTGCAATTTGAAACTAAAACGTAAAGACTCTCAAAATTGTATGTTTTTACCAGATTCTTCATTGGAAATATTTCCATTTTACTAGGCATTTTATATTATTCTTTTGTATAATTGAGTTTTCCAAGTTTTTCTAGCTACAAAGGAAGGAAATAAATGACATGCATAGAAAAAAACGACATGGCACTGTTGTCTAGCGTAAAACCAGAGTCAAACACGTAAAAAGGTCAAATAAGAAAGAAGTCCTAGAGTTCATAGGGTCAATTGAACCAAAACTAATTCACAACTGTGATGTAAACTCTAATACTAGGTAAAATGTGCTTTTCAACCAAGGAAACCATTTATTACAACTCCCGTTCCTTATATTAAGTTGTTTAGTCATTGAGTTGTCCTTGGTTTCGTAACATGGCAGTGGCTTTACACATGTTAGCATAAATGCAAAAAAAAGGGAAAAATTGAGACGACAAAGAAAAGTGAAAAAAGACCAATAAATTTGACAACGATAACCCAAGATGGACAAAATTTTATTGGGCATAAACAATGTTATAGAATGTTTCTAAAAATAATAGCAATACGATGTGCTACATTTTTCCTTCAGTTATTGGGCGTAAATTTATTCCATACCTAAAGTGCCCATTTTCCCAAAATTTCATGACTCCCCCTTAACAAAAATTGTACTCCCTCCATTTCCTTTTGCTTCACACTTAAGATTTGTCTTAAGTCAAACTACATAAAGTTTGACCAAATTTATATACAAATTTATCAACATCTACAATATTGGAGATATGCAAAAAAAATTGACCCAACACTGTAGAACAATTGTTCTACGTTAAATATATTAAAATAAATATAGTACAAAATATTACACACCCGCAAAGGGATGAACTTCGGCTAAGAAGCTAGCCAATGCCTGCTCTAGGAATGGAACTCATGATTATAGATTATGATCTATCCACTGAGTGAACCGAGCTTCAAACTTTTGCCTGATCTTGTGTCTCGGGAGCTTTAAGTCTTGCTTAAGGTGAAATCGCCAAGACTGAATCGACAGTGGAATTGTTCTGAAAACTTTACCATTCCTCTGCATCCATATGTTCCAACAATCCAAAATGATGATCTCTACTGCAAACTGCTTTGGCAAGAGTTTTAAGGCCAGGGTGGTATCCTCATAATCTGATGTGCCTCTGTATCTATTTGGAATCAAGGAGTTCCAACATTCCTGTGCAAAGTTGCAGTCCCATAATAAGTGCATAGTTGTCTCTTCTGCCTGTTGGTTACAGTTAGGGCAATGAATGTCATCTAGCTGCATGCCTTTTCTGAGTAAGAGTGCTCTAGTGTTCATTCTGCAATGAGCCACTAGCCAAAAGAAGATTTTGTGCTTGAGTCTGCTTGAACTGTTCCAAATGATGCTAAAAAGGGATGTTCTTCCTGTTGTTCTAAAATTAGATTATATATGTGAATTGTTGATGGCTTCCCAACAGCCCCAATGATGCTCCATTTATCCTCTCTGTTTGGAAGTAGACTGGGTGCTATAGCTTGAAGTTGATTAAATTCCTCATAAGCTTCAATAGAGAGAGGCAGGTGAAAGTGCTCAGTCCAATCATGCTCTCCATAAAAATCTAGAACAGACTGCTCATCATTCCTTGCAAAGGAGTGAAGATGTGGAAGGGTAGATTGTAGGTTATGATCATTCCAGTTATCTTTCCAAAAAAGCATAGTTTGTCCAGTTCCAATTGAGCACCTGCTAATCTGCTTAAACCTTTCTAGGAGACATACGTGAGATTTCCACTAGAAAGAACCTTCAACTTTTCCTTTTGGAGCTTCTGTATGATAATATTTCTCCCAGGTCAGCTTAATCCAAGGTATATCTTCTTTGTTAAGGAACTTGAATAGGTTTTTCATGAGGAGAGCCTTATTGTGGAGAGCAATATCAAGAATACCAAGGCCCCCTTTTTTTTGGTAGACAAACCTTGGACCAAGCAATGAGTGTTGTCCCTCTATTTTCCATGCCAAATTTTCTCCAGAGAAAGTTTCTCAAATACTTGTTGATTTGCTCAATAACACCTATGGGAAGTTTCAAGGTACACATAAAGAAGATTGGTAGGGCTGCAAATACCGATTTGATAAGCAACAATCTTCCATCATATGACAGCATGGTAGAACAACCAGAAAGCCTTCTCTCAATTCTTTGCATCATTGGGCTATAATCTTCAATTTTTGGTTTTGATGTGCCAAGTGGAAGTCCTAAATAAGTGAAGGGGAAGTGTCCTTGCTCGCATCCCATAATATTGAGCAAAGTGAGAGTCTGATACATTAATTGGCACCATGAAAGATTTCTCATAACCGACTTTGAGCCCAGTAAAAGCAGTATAATGCAAAATGAGGTTTTTGACTTGAGCAACTTGTCTGGCATCAGCAGGCAACACTAAGATTGTATCATCAGCATATTGGATCATAGGAAAATCTGGGTAAGCTTGGCTGACAATAGGAGCATGGATCAGATGTTGATGCATAGCTTCATTGAGCATTGACTGAAGAAGATCAACTGCTAGAACAAAAGGTAAAGGAGAAAGAGGATCCCCTTGTCTGACTCCTTGTCTGCAGTGGAAGAGTTTCCCAGGCACTCCATTGAACAGGACAGAGGAAGTGCCCGAGGACAGCAACATTGAGATCCAAGTTATCCATCTTTTTCCAAATCCTCTAGCTTTCAGTATAGCAAGAATGGCTTTATGATTGAGCATATCAAAAGCTTTCTCAAAGTCCAATTTGAGGAAGACAATAGTCTGTTTGGATTGCTGACATTGATGTAAATATTCAAAATCCCACCCCAGACAATCATGAATGGTTCCGCTCTTGATGAAACCATATTGATTGGTGTGCACAATCTTTAGAATGACATCATGTAATCTATTGGCTAACAGTTTGGTAATGATCTTGATTGTGCAATTGAGTAGAGAAATTGGTCTGAAGTCATTGGCTGTAACTGGATTGTCCTTCTTTGGAATTAAAGTGATGAAAGAGGCATTAATACTCTGAAGAGAGATCTTCCCATGGTAGAAATCATCTATTAACTTGTAAAAATATTCAGGAATGATGTTCCAACAAGCTTTAATAAAATCTCCATTGAATCCATCTAGCCCTGGTGCTTTATCAGAAAGGAGGTTCTTTATAACAGAGCCAATTTCTTGCTTTGTGAAGGGGGCATCTAGATCCTGCAATTCCTCT